TATATATATATATATATATATATATATATATATATATATATATATATATATTTAAATTATTATTGTGGTGATTGTGAAGTGACTTTAGTTTCAGGGCTGGTATTTAATTCCTGGCCTGAGCTGTCACATGTAGCAGTTTGGATGAGCGTTCATTTGTTTTTAGATTTACTTTAGTTTTGTTTTACTTCCAAATTAGCACCAATGATAATGAGGGGTAATAACTGACATCAGCTTTAGCTGTAGTTTTATTTGCATGTTGATACTGAAGATACAATGAGGATGTTTATTTTTCTGATGGTGTAATGTTTGCTGAATATCATATTCTCCTTTTGTTGATTAAAAAAGTTCTTTTCTGTCTATCTGTTGTGTGACAAAGATTAAACGCACAAGATACAAATAAAAAGTTCACTTCAGGAATCTGAGGCCACATTTTTGTCCAGTAAAAGAACTAGAAAAGGACTCCTCATCTACAAGTTACTGTGTTTAATGAGGCAAACGTAAAAGGTTTCTGATTTTTATTCATTGTGAGCTTGTCTTAAAAAAAAAGAATTATAACTTTAGTTATATCTTTACTAGAGTGTTTATTTAGAGGTGGTCCATCAGAATGAAAACAAATAAAATAGATGAATTTAGCTTAAATTAATTTGGCACTACATTCTTAATTAGTCACAGATTGCTCCGAGTAGTTTTGTTTTAATATACAGTATATAATCAACATCTCATTGATAAAACCACTTGCATCACCTTAAACTCCTGCTCAGTTTTGTTTAAGTGAAAGGTGCATGCCTTGTTGTATGCAAGCTAGTTAGTTAGTTAGTTAGTTAGTTAGTTAGTTAGTTAGTTGTTAGTTTAAGGCCCTGCATGAATTCACTCAGGGTCTTTGTTCCCACAAAGAGCAGTTTTATTGTTCTCTGGAGATTTTTCAAGAAGCTTCCTTTTAGCTTTTACTGTACTTCCTCCATTAACTTTCCAAGCCAGTGAAATCCATATTTTCTTTCCATTTGTTCCTGTTGGGAATAACATTTGTGCACATCTACAGGCTCACATCATGATATACTTTGTATATATTTTTACTTTTTTTTTTAATACCAAGCCATTTTATTTATGAAGCACTTAAAAACCACAACAAGGCCAACCAAAGTGCTGATAGTGCTAAAAGACATGAGTGATATTTGTTGAAGAATGAAATAACTGATTTGTTAAAATTAAAACGAGTAGATCAACAGCTAAAATCAGCAAAACAGTCACTCAGTGCTGCAACTAGCAACACTAACTCAACCTTAAAGCAAACTAAACTATAGCTGAAAAATTTTTATGAACAAAACTGTAGCAAAATGCCAAATATCTAAATGGTTGCTAAAATCAAAATGTAGCTAAATTGTAACTACCATAGCTAAAAGCTGTAAATAACATGATAGTGGCTAACAGCTAAATTAAGCAAATCAGTAGCTAAAAGCCAAAGTTAGCAAGACATAACTAATAAGTAGACAACATTAGATAAAGTAGATTACACAGAACAGTGTTTTTGAATAAACTGAAGAGATCCCCGTGTGTTTCCATGAGGAAAATGATTGTAAATGCGAAACAATTTAAAAAGTACAAACGTTACAAAGGCTAGAAGTCACAGCACACTATTCCTGATGGAGCCGAATGTTCTGATTAAACAGAACAAAGTAGTTTGATTGTAAAATACTTATGCAAGTGTGAATGATGAATAAGTATTCACGTAATTTTGAGGAAATCCATGGAGAATATCCATCTCTGAGTAATGTTCTGCTATATCACGTTTACTCTCAGCAGATTTGTCTGCACGGACAACTACAAACTAGCTGTGGTTGCTAAGCTTTTTATTTTTTAATTTCCAGAGATGGACGGCACCTATGGAGGAGGGCTGTTTGACATGGTGAAGGGAGGAGCTGGGAAGTTCTTCAGCAACTTTAAGGACAATCTAAAAGACACACTGAAGGACACCTCCACCAAGGTCATGCACCAAGTCTCTACGTAAGTAACCACCACATTCAAGCTGAACTCAATGCACTCTGCAAAATGTAACAATGATTCTTGATGCAAAATGGGAGAATTTCATAATAAAATTGAATGAATTGAGTGTTAACTGTTAACGTCACAGTAGATTAGTGGTTAGCTTTGTTGCCTCACAACACACAAGTTCTGGGTAAAGCCTAAAGGCTTGTCATAGGGTCTTCTATGTGAAAGGTTAGTGTGATTTTACTCCGGGTGCTTCAGCTTCCTCCCAGTCTAAAAACATTCATGTTGCGCTGCCTCCAGGTCCAGGCCTCCCTCAAAGAAGAGATTAGTGATCTCGGTGGGGTAAGCCTGGTTAAATAAAGTTTATGAATTTATTTAAAACTGTTATATCTGATCAAAAATAGTAAAATTACATGACAAGACCCAAAAATATTGCATGGTCTTTGTATAAAACCAATAAAATTCCTATATTTTGTATAATATGATGCTGTCATAAAAGGCAAATTGCACAACTAAACATTTGAAATAACTCTTTTTGGGAAGTAAATAAACAATCAGTTCCCATTTCACCTAAAATGGCCCAAGGATGATTTCTAATTGTGTTGTCAAGCGGGTATTGGGTATTAGATATTATTACACACAGGTTTAGTGTTAGATTTGATTAAATACACTATTAGAGTTGAAGATTAGTCAAAATATCAAGCAAAATAAAATGTTGCTGTAAAATTTTGTTCTCTGGGTTTTGTTCACAAGTGAGGGAAGAATGGAGCATGAGATGGACAGACAGATTGGTGTAGTGTCTGCAGTATTGAGGACTCTGTGCCGGTCTGTTGTGGTGAAGAGGGAGCTGAGCTGTAAGGCAAAGCTCTGTTTACTGGTCAGTCTACGTTCCAACCCTCACCTATGGTCATGAACTCTGCGTAGTGATCGAAAGAATGAGATCGTGGATACAGACAAAATGTTTCCAAGGCAGGGTAGCTGGACTCTCCCTTAGAGATAGGGTGAGAAGTTTATCCTGATGCATGCTCAATAATCCAGGTAGAAAAATCCAAAAAAGTTCAATCTGGTCCTCTGGACATTCAAAAAAAAAAAAACAAGTTGAGAGAAGAGGTGAGAAGTTTAGTTATCTGGGAAAGATTCAGAGTGGAACTGCTGCTCCTCCACATCGAGAGGAGCCAGTTGAGGCGGTTAGGGCATATGGTAAGGATGCTCCCTGGCCTGGGCGCCTCCTTAGGGAGGTTATTTGGGCATGTCCGACTGGGAGGAGACCCCGGGGAAGACCCAGGACACGCTGGAGAGACTACATCTCTCAGTTGGCCTGGGAACGCCTTGGGGTCCTCCCAGAAGAGCTGGAAGAGGTGGTTGTGGAAAGAGCTGTCTGGGCCTCCTTGCTCAAGCTGCTGCCCCCATGACTCGACTTGGGAACAAGCAGAAGATGATGGATGGATGGATGGATGGATGGATGGATGGATGGATGGATGGATGATGGATGATGGATGGAATAAAATGTTGCTTCATCGCATTTACAGCACATTTATTGAGACATTTTCATTTTGTACATATGGATAAATGCATCGGCGACACTTTTACAGTGCATATTTTGCACATTATAACACCCACTGAAAGGCTGTTTTTAGTTTAATTTAACTCAAATTTAGATTAATTAAAAGTTTGAAGTGGTTTTTTTTAATTTGACAACCCTCATTCCTTATACGAGCTGGCAAGTGTTTTCTGTTTAACACAATATTTTGGATGGGATTTCTTTGTATATTTACATTAATTCAAGAGAGACTGATTTCAAGCTGCCCCATCTTCAGGTTGTCTGGCTTCATGCATTTCTTTTCTTCCTAACTTCCCTAATCATTTTTATTAGATTTGAAATGCCTCATATTTCATATAGTTGACATCAAAACCATCTAGCACAGACAATGTAGTAAAACTGTTGTTTCACTTGGAGCAGAATTGGTTTCTGTATTTCTGTATCAGCCTTGACTTCTTGGGAAGACTCTAACCTATGATGATTATTTAAAAATATCAAACTGGTAAATGCTTGTACAGCGGCTGTTCTTTCAAATATTCAGTAAATATTTGTATGCTGTTTGGATGGTGGTTCCTTTAAAAGTGAAGCTGCTCAGTGGGGATGGAGGGGGGGGGGGGGCAGGGAGGCTGACACGGCTCGGTTCTCCCAGTCTGTTTGTGTACAGGCATCTGCACGGGGCAGCACAAAGAGCTCTCTGTATATTCAGAAACACACACAGCTTCTCTCTGACTTGACTCAGCAAGTTTGATTGTGTTTATTCCTCTCTCGTGTCTCCCCTCCTCTTCCTCTCTCCTGTTCCCTCTTGTTGTCATCTCAGCTCCACCTTTCCTTCCCTCTCTTTGCCGTCTCTTCAGGCTGAATTATTCATGGCAAGTGCATTGTGCCAAATGGCCTGTGCATTGCTGATTCTAACGGATTCATTTCATTTGTGCCATGTGTTGCAGTGGGAGTTTTTATGCATGTGTGACTGTGGGTAATTGAGTGATGGGAGCTGGGATACTGTGGACACCAGCTAAAGCAGTCGGGGTTGATAGGTGGAGAAAGTTAGCATGAAGAAAAGCAGAGGATGATATTTATTTGTCAGTAATGGCAAGCGTGTTTCTGTCTCGGTGAATGCACATTTATTAGTTTTCTTAAAAAAAGGTTTTGAAATGGATTTTAAAGTTTCATTTGTCTAATTTTCTGTGCAATCTTTGCCTAACCGTGACAGCATGCTGCACAGTGTGATAAAAATAGGAACGTTGTCAAATGAGGACAAAAGATGAAGTCAGGCCTAAAGAATTGTTCACAGCAGATGAACAGTATCTGTAAATATCTTTAAGAAATGGAAAACAACCCAGCAAAAACCTGACACAGAACCTGAGACATGCATCATACTTCAGCTGGTTATTGTATTATTGCTATAGCTGTTTGGGAATCACTTTATTGTTGTTGGCAAGACAGTGTTTTCTGTCTGTTAAATGTTTGTTTTTGGTGCCTTTCTTATAGGTAGATAATAAAATGGGAACAGAATGTGTTTTTTTTAAGACTAATGAAAACAAAGAGTCAAAAGACCCAATTTAAAATTGATTTTTTTATTTTTATTGCTGTCTGTTGTATGTGTCAAAACAACAATGTATCTCTTGAGTTTTTGAGCCTTTTGATGCCTAAACAACTTATAGATCAGGGAGTACTGATTAACAATAACATCAACATCATAGATCCTCTGCTGGACTGACAAACAGTAGAAAAGAAGCCAAAGTCCAAAGAAAAACCGCCAGAAAAGTCACAGAAATGTATCAAGACTATTTTAAAGATTACAAGAAAACTCTGGCTGCTTGGAAGCAAACTATAAAGAAACAAAAGGGTGACTCAAGACTTTTGCACAACCCTGTACACCTTCTGAGGACGGTAATCCATGTGTTTTTTTTATGTGAACTTTAAATATGGAGGCAAAGCCTGCAATTAAAGAGAGCTGCAGTATCTGATCATTCTGCTTGGTAGATTTGAACTAAACTTACCAATATGTCTTTAACGCTGATTTTTCAACATAATTTGATTTTAGTTTGAATCTTTGGCATAAAACGCAACAGGCGATATGCATTTCTTTAAGGAATTCTTTTTCAACACCAAAACATTTTTAACATTTTATTGTATTATTATTATTATTAGGCCCTGTGATGGACTTGTGGCCTGTCCAGGGTGTTCCCCGCCTCTCGTGCAGTGATGGCTGGACATGGGCGCCAGTGACTCCTGCGACTCGAACAAGAAGAAGCGAATAAAGATAATGGATGGATATAATTATTATTTGCATATTGCCAAATATCACAACACAAACTATACCCTTAATGAAACTATACCCTGAATTATGTCTACAAAAAAAAAAAGAGCATAAAAGCTGAAAACTCAAAAGACTGAGTCAGAATTAGCAGCGAAACATGAAATTGGTGTTTTTATTGGCTGAAGATTTGTGTTAAGAAAAGTATTAAAACAACCTAAATCAGACCGTATGATCCGTTACTTTATGTGCAAACATTATCTGGCCTTCTTTTGTTAACATTTTTATAATGAAGTAGACAGGTAAATATTTTTTCTCAAAACAAGAGGAGACAATTTTGGGGCGGAAGATGAAGGAAACATGGAGAGCCCAGATCCTGTATCTGTTGGGATCTAACCTACTTACACTGTTTGTTTGTGTGTAGTTCAACTAGTTTTATGCTCCAGTGCTTACTTTCTGCTGGGCAAACAGTGGCCTCCCTTTCATAGTGTGTAAATACTCAGTTGTACTTTTGACATTTAAGGTCTAGGCTGCAATAACCTAAAAATAACATATAGGTGTTGATGCAGAATTTTGAGGACAAATGTGACACACATGATTTAAAGTTTGGAAAAGTATGTTTAAAAACTATAAGAGCGTAATTTGCAAAGGCACACTCTCACATCTTTATAGCTTTTGTTTAAAAATTTACATCAGATTGTGTCCAACAGTGATGGATTAAAATGCACGTCACATTTTTAAAAGAGAGATGGACTCAAGAATGAGGAGTCCAAATGAAAATGAAATATATCCATCCATTATCTTTACTTGCTTCTTCCTTTTTCGGGTCACTGTGCGAGAGGCGGGGGACGCCCTGGACAGGTCGCAAGTCCATCACAGGGACGCAAAGAGACAAGTGAGACAAACAACCGTTCACTCTCACATTCACAAGTTGAATATGGCATGAAAGGCTGTTTGAGGGATTCACATGTGGCATTTCTTTGATCCTGAACAGCTTAGAGTAGTCTGGATGGGAAAAAAAAAAGACCATTTCCCTCCCGAGTCAAACCGTTCAGACATGGATGTGATGCAGCCCGATGCTCCGACAGTGAGAGGCAGAGAGGCGGATCAAATGTTTGGCTGCTGAGAATATGTACTCTGATCCACTCTTTCACAAACATTACTTGTTTTGCTATCAGAACGTTTCAAATGTAGAGCATTTGTACAAAAACTTTTGACAAGTATTTTTCAGGCGTGCTACTGTATGTTTACAATGCTTTTCAGAAGTACCGGTAGTTGTTTATTTGTACTAACTGTAAATTATTTATTTGAGGATTTATTTTTTTTGTGCACAATCTACATTAAATAGCTCTAAATAGGCAAAAGACAAAAAAAAAATCTGAACTTTTAAATAATAAAAACTTAAAAGGTTTAACTTGTGAAGTCCCATATTTAAATCAGTTAACTCGATCTGCGTGCAAACCACATGATGTCATGTGATTTCAGTGTTTTTAAAGGCTGAAGAGTCGGCCACATGACAACAACAAATATCAGACAAATATCAACTGTATCCAAACACCAAGCATGCAGCTAAATTAAAGCTCAAGGGTTTAGGAGGACACATGCAGTTCTAACATGTAGTAAAAGAAAGCTCAAACTTAAACCTCACTGAGAATCTGTCATCACAGTGGAGGTCATCACCTGATCATTGTTGAATCAAAATTACCAAATTGTTCTGATTTACAGAACATCAGGCTGAATTTAGCTAAATATAAAATGTAAACATTCTTTTGCAGGAATGAATCTTCCTGGCTTCATAGCTCTGCCTGTATCCTCCTGAGCTGATCGACCACATGAGCTGATGCTCAGCTTCTCCTCACTGCTGGTTTTCAGGGTCTGAGTTGGGCCTGGTCACATGCTGTGAAGGAGCTCTGTAGCTCTTTTCAACCCTTTCTGAGCCGTGCTGCAGTGGACTCTTGTACTGAACTGTGAAAACCCTAATAAAAAAATGTTTTGTGGGTCAGATGGAATGAGCTTGTAGGGTGGGTTTGGCCTAGTCATAAAAAGTCAAAGTAATTTTATTTGTCTGAAATGACCATGTTATTTGCGCTTCGACTTGTGTTTTAATCGCTTTGAACAAATAAAACAAATTAACAACTTTTTATGTATATGTTTCAGATACACTAAAGGGGAACTGGACATTGCCTACATTACATCAAGGATCATAGGTAAACAAAAAGTGGCTGCAAGTTATAATAGACTGTGTATAAATAAGTGATTGTCAGACCCGTCTGCCACACTGTTACCATGTTTTTCAGACTATAAGGCACACTTAAAATCCTTTAATTTTCTCAAAAACCGACAGTGAGCCTTATGTATTAATTCTGGTTGTGCTTACTGACCTCGAACCGATTTTATGTGGTTATTGTGTATGAGTTGAATAAAGTTTGATTTATCTGACTGTTTTGTTTTGCTTAATGTGCCTTATAGTCCAAAACATATGATAATGGTTTAACTACATTTTCATCAGGATGTCTTGTCCTGTTGTGTCCACATGCCCAGTTCACACACATAAACAGACATCTTCACCTTTAGCTGACTCCAGTTTCACCTCTGAGTTTTTAACAACTTTACATGATCGTGAGTGTGAAGCTGCAGGATCTTTTAGAGATGAATGTTACCTGAAGACAGAATAAACCCTCTTATAACTGGACTGTATCATAAACCTACAGTCGTGGCCAAAAGTTTTGAGAATGGCACAAATTTTGCAGCCTCAGTTTTTTTTAGAACCTTTTGTCAGATGTTTATATGGTATAATGAATTACAATTATAAGCATTTCATTCATGTTTTAACTTTCTGTTGACAAATGCATCCAGTTTAATCAGACTAAAATATTCAGTGTTGATCCTTCCTATACTTCCTGCAGAATGACACTCTATCCTTCATGTTTTCTTGAAGAGAAATGGCTTCTTTGCTTCCCTTCTTGACACCAAGCCATCCTCCAAAAGCTTTCATCTCACTGTGCGTAGGCCTGTCACGATAACAAATTTTGCTGAGCAATTAATTGTCTCAGAAATTATTGTGATAAACGATAATATTGATTGAAATTTGACAATAATTAGTAATTGTCAAATTGAAGAAGAAATACTTTGTTTTGAGTGTAGTACCTTTTTTGACCACTGGATGGCAGTGTAAGACGTTTGAACCGAAGGATGGCTAGTGAGGGAGCGAGCAGCGTGTCTCTTTAAGAAAAATGGGAGGGAGGCCCCTTGACATGACATGGGCTGTCTGTCTCTCCTTCCTTGTCAAAATGGCGGATGCTCGGTGTGGTTTGAGCTCTTTAGCATAGCATTTTTCACACAATCAGTAAACAAGTTCTTAGCTTCTTTTTGCAGAGAAAAACAACTTTTTACACAAAGGCACAGGTTTCAACCATGAGTTTTGGAGCTTCAACAAGACAATGTTTTCCCGCGGTCGGCCTGTTAGCTTAGCTCGTAGCATAGCTTCTTAGTTTAGCTGCTTTTAACAATCCCAAAACGTGATTTTGGACGGTTAAAACGGATTTTAAAGAGAAAGGGAGGGGTCAGTAAAGAGCACCGGACTTGAACTTTTTGTCATCCAGTGTTTTCAGTAGAAAGAGAGAGACACGAAGAAACGATAAAGCTGATAAATGCAAATGAGTTAGATAATTTTCATTTATCATGCGATTAATTGTATTGTTTATCGCGACAGGCGACAGACATCCTCTTTAGGAGACGGTCCTGATGCTTGCTTGACTTTCTTGGGCACCTTTAAGCCTTCTTCACTGCAATTGAACTAATCTCCTTGTAGTTCTTTGTGATTCAATAAATGGTTGATTGGGATGCTATCTTACAAGAAGCAGTGTCTTTGCAATTCATCTGATCACTCTTCACAATCTAGAGTTAATACAAATTGCCACCATAAAAACTGAGGCATTAGACTTTGTGAAAACCAAAATTTGTGCCATTCCCAAAACTTTTGGCCACGACTGTACGCTTCAGAATTTAATAGTTGGTTTACCATCATTCAGTCTGTAGTCAACAGTATGAAAAGCTGTTGTAATTACCTAACAAATTAAAATGTGTGAATTTAAATTTATAGCTGCTTATCTCAGTTTTTTTTTTTTCCCCTTAGTGATGACGTACCCAGCGGAGTCTGTCCAGTATGGTTGCCAGAACCATGTTGAGGATATCCGCTCCTTCCTTGACAGCCGCCACGCAGACCACTACACAGTCTTCAACTTATCGCAGCGCAACTACCGCGGGGCCAAATTCTCCAACAGGGTTAGTGTGATTGTATCTCAGGATGCTGCACATGAAGATCATCATGTGTGCTTTTGTTTGTGCTCTTATTGGCACCATTTTCACTTCCTTTATTAAAGCTCCTCTATTTAGATCTGAGGACTTAAATGTGGTTACGCAGCATCAGCTGCTTGATATTCTGGTTACGCTAAGTCTAAAATGCACATTTGTAAAGTGTAGGGTTTAAAGTCTCGCAGAATGTGAGATGAAACAATTATATTTTATGCAGTTTGAACAAACTATTCATTACTTTTCTGTATGTAAATTTTAAGGTAAATAGTTTCTCATGTTGCAGACTTTTAATGGGGTGGTTTGATTGTACAATAACAAAATATACCAAGACAGCAGCACCCGAGGGCATCTGCCAAAATGGCACCTCTAAAGTGAGAACATATTGATGTGTCAGTTATTTTTCTTCAGATTTGTGCTTTTAACATCAAGATGACCAGCATTTGACCTGCTTTTTCAGTTCAAAGCTTTCTACAACAAGAAATACAGTATAACAGTTTTATGCTTCCAAATGTCTATTAGTCTTTTAATCCCCAATATTCATCTTAATATGAAACTTAATCCCCAACCTCCAAGTTTAAATCTTATTATATCATGTGACCAAAGCTTTCTCTGTCTGATATTTCTCTGGCTGCTTTATCGCAGTTCTGTTGTCAAAGGAAATGTGTGCATTCCTTATATGTTAAAACAATATAAGATTTTACTTTTCTTTTGTGTCGTCTTTCACAATAGAATTTTGCCTCCTCAAGAGGTAATGATTATTATGATTTTTATCTAAAATATTTTGTATAAAGCAAACTGCAGGTTTTTTCTTTTAGGTAGACAAACCAAAAAGTTAGGAAGAAAAGCAATTTATTCAATAAATTGTCAATTTTTTTTTATTACTTCACAATAATAACTAATGAAAAATACCTCCAAATAAATCCCGTCATTTGAACTGTAGATGATTCAGATTTTGGTGGGGAGTGGTGGAGCAGAGGTTAAAGAATGTGGGTCTGTGATCGGAAGATCGCCATTTCAACTCGCGGTACTGCCCACACATTCCTCCACCCTCACTTGTCTCACTCTGGCCCTTGAGCAAGGCCCTCAATCCCCACCATCTGCTCCCCCGGACACCCTTGATAGCAGCTCTGCTCCACACAGAGGGCTGTGGTAGCTCGGGGGTCTGTGGTTGCGTCAGGAAGGGCATCCGCGTAAAAATAATTGCCAAGTCTTCGTATGGTTTAGTTTGCTGTGACGACCCCTGCGAAGGGAGCAGCTGAAAGAAGAAGAAAAAAAAAGTAAAAAAAAAAAGAAAAGATTATCACTGCTTAAATAAAGTATGAACACTTAATTTTGTCCTTCTTTTTCTGATTTTATGGATAAGTGTGCCCTATTGGCTCGTGAAATGATTCAGGGTTGTTGTACAGCTGGAGTTAGGTTCATGTTAAACCATATGTGGGAGTTTTATAATCAGATAACAGCTGTGGAGTTCATATGACCAAGATAGCCTCTGGAATTTTCTGTAGCAGATGAGTGTGATGAGCTGCTGCAGAGCTGTTACTAACCTCCTCTTCTCTTTTTCTTTCCTCTCTCATTTTTATAAACTTTCCCTCTCCTTGTTCTTCTTTTTTTTTTTTGCTTTTGTTCCACCCCATTTGCCTTTTCTCTTATTCCCCCCTCCCAACACACAAACACACTCACGTTAATTTTACTTTCTGCTTTGGTGCTCCTTCCTCCTCCTCCTGTTCCCTGCACTAACCTCTCCCAGGTGTCGGAGTGTAACTGGCCTTCACACCAAGCTCCAAGCCTTCACAACTTGTTTGCTGTGTGTAAGAACATGCACAACTGGCTCAAGCAGAATCCCAAGAACGTGTGCGTCATCACCTGTTCGGTAAGAAAAACACTCACGTGATCAAATCAGTATTCATACACCGAAAATTATTTTTATTTATTTATAATATTTCACATATTGATAAACCATAACCAGTGATTTGGTCACCCTTTCTTCTTCCCTATTTTTTGTATTCTACATAACTACTCTTCCCAGTCATGGCTTCAGATGAATTGATCCGTTTTGTCTGCAAGCACAATTACCATATTTTCCGGCGTATAAGTCGCATCAGTCAAAAAAAAGCATCACGAAGAGGAAAAACCATATATAAGTCACTTCAGCGTATAAGTAATGTTTATTTTGCATCACTGCTGACCCGTCGCATTTATTATGCGTCACCGCGGACCCTCAGGAAACGTGTGTCGATGTCAAACCAAAAATCTATTTGCGTCCACGGGAGGACTCGCTGTTGCAGCTCTTTGAAATTTAACAAGATTAACACTTAAACAATTGTTTGTTTGCTCGACAGATAGCAAAGGTGTGTCTCAGTTTAACGTTTTCTTTAATAAATGCACTTTAATGGTCAGTGTTTGGCGGGGGGGCAGTGGGGGGCAGCGGTACAGGAACAACATATACGCCTACTAGTAGTTGTCGTCAAAAGCCAAGAGGGCCTTCTCGCGCCTCTAATGACTGCAAATGTAATGTTTACTCTAGTTCATGTCAGTATGAATGAACATTTAAAGCGTCAGTCAAAAATTGTGTTATGCATATGGAAAAAAGTATATAAGTTGCTTTGGTGTGTAAGTCGCACTGTCACATCCATGCAAAAAACTGTGACTTATACGCCGGAAAATACAGTAATTGATTTGGTTTAAGTAGAGTGAAAAATAAAAAAACCCTGCCAAAGACAAAACAAACTCTGAGTGAGGCAACGAAACTGTGGCTCCATGTCACATTTTATTCCAAATTATGGAGCTGGATTTCACTTATAGTTGTAAAAAAAAAAAAAAAAAAAAGAAAAAGAAAAAGTTAAGTAAATACTTTGAAGTAAACTTTCTTTTGCAGCTTTAAGCTCAGCTAAAACATTACAAACAGCTCAAAGCACTGTGTGAATCAGACCGAGCAGTGAAACCGGCATGTGGTGGAAGATTTTATTGCCAAGTTGCTGTGGTTTGGCAAACATCTCCATCTTGCATAATCTCTACCAAATGTTTGTGTTTGTCTCTAACCTCTAAAGTGAAGTTTAAATCACGACTACAAGTGAATCCAGCCAAATATTTACTCAACATTTTATAAATAGTTTAAAATAATACAAAGCAAGGCAAAACAGATTAAAAGCCTGGCATTCCTTCAAGGAGTGCTTATCGCCAGCTGTCTTTCATACCTGAGTTTAAAACTTAAATAATTTAATGTTGAGAAGGGACGGAGTGCAAACACACAATCTCATGCAATATTTAGAGATCTGGCCTAATCTGTTAACAATTTGAACATTTGTTAGTGATGACTCAGATAATACCATCAAATCTGAGTTCATTAGGTGTGAAACTGACAGAACTAACATCTGTTAAGTTCCTGGCAAGATCCAATGCAGACATGTTTCTGTTTTTAGTTTTCTACACCGCCATATCATCTGGCTGTTTTTTTGCTGCTTTTTTCCTTTTGGTTGCTATTTTATTTTAATTTGTAAAACAAACAAAAAAAAAAATCTGTACGTCTCTTTTATGATTGTCTGTTGTCTTTGTTATCCACTGCTGTCATCACTCTTTGTTAAAGAAATCAGGTTTCTCTTGTAAATGAGTCCCCGAGGCTCAATGGGATTAACCTGCATAAACAAAAGGTTGAATGAAAAAACACAGAATTATAATTTTGGTGTTGGCTAATGTCCAGACAGCCATCTTTAATTGGGTTAACTCCAAATGTTAGAGTTGTAGATGTTTAGTGATGACTTACTTATTGGCAAATGTTCAAAGTTTTAAAGGTTTCAGTTAGCACTCAGAGTATGTGCTGGAGATGACCTTGTGTAAAATGGTCAGAGTTGTATCCATTTTTGTTTTTATTAAGGTTGCTAAGCTGTGGTGACCATCTTGAATGGGGTTCACCTTAAAAACAAATCAGCCGTACCATATTTTTCGGACTATAAGGCGCACTGGGCTCATTAAGCGAAACGAAACAGTCAGATAAGTCAAACTTTATTCAACTCATTTACAATAACCACATACAATCAGTTCGAGGTCAGTAAACAAAACCAGAGTTAATACATAAAGGCGCACCTGATTATAAGGCTCGCTGTCAGTTTTTGAGAAAGAAGTACGCCTTATAGTCTGAAAATACGGTAGATTTACACCCAGTGCTTACTTTGAAAGGTTTTTAACCGCTGGTTCACAAGATATTTTGTTAACACTACAGACAAATCTGTCAGCATCTGCTCGGTCTGCTTCCAGGATGGTCGTGCTACCTCTGGTGTTTTGGTCTGTGCCATGTTCTGCTTCTGCCACCTTTTCAACCACCCAGTTCCTGCCATGCAGCTGCTGAGCGCCAAAAAACCCGGTTCTGGCCTCTGGCCTTCACATCGCAGGTTTGCATCTCTGAGCAGAGACAAAAAATCTAATAAAGCAAACATTTGATCCTTTCTTTTTGTTCACCCCTCTACGTTAGAAATGACGTTCACTAACTTGATTAGTGAATGATTAATGTAGAGCATAATTTTTATGTGTGCATAGGATAAAACAATTAAAAGGTGTCCCTGTGTCCATGCAGGTACATAGGTTATGTGTGTAGCATGGTGTCAGAGAAGCCCACCCTCCCCCACTCGAAGCCCTTGCTGATCAAGGCGCTCACTATAAGTCCAGTTCCCTGTTTCAACAAGCAGCGGAGCGGCTGCCGGCCCTTTTGTGACGTCCTCATTGGTGAGACTAAGATCTTCACCACTGCACAGGAGTATGAAAGGATGAGGTAAGGGACAGTCTTGAGATTAACGTACAAAATCCATACAATTAGGTTATGACAGATTATGTAGTATTTTCGAAACACCATACAGAGTTTAAATGAAACTATAATCAAAATATAATCAAAGTGTTATTCTTTTTTCCTCTTTATGAGTTTCGGACATGTTCTCCCAAATGTTTCCTAATGTGGCTCTATTTTATTTTTTTTAACATTTTTGCTCATATTTCTTAATCCCTTCTCTGCTTCTGCATGCCCAGAGAGCACAGGATCCAGGAGGGGAAAGTGGTTTTCCCTCTTGGTGTGAGTGTTCAGGGAGACATCGTGGTTTCAGTCTACCACATGAGATCAACAATCGGAGGCCGTCTGCAGGCCAAGGTATGCTCTTCAGGCTGCAGCAGCAAGATCTAACCAGGAAACACTGACACTGTTGAAGAGATCACGGGAATGCAGGAACAATTACTATATTTTCCACCGTACATGTCGCACCGCCGTATAAGTCGCATCAGTCCAAATATGTCTAATAAAGTGGAAAAGTCCATAAATACGTTGCTTCGTCATATACGTAGCATCTATTATGCGTCACCGCTGATGCATCGTGTTTGTTACGCGTCACCACTGACAACCTGGAAATGTGGGCCGGTGTTGCGCCAAAAAATCAAAAGGCTGCCAAATGGCGGCCGTGGGAGAGTGCACGGAAGGATTTTAACAAGAATTTAACAAGATTAACACTTAAGAACAATTATTTGTTTGCTCGAAACTAGTAAATGTGCGTCTCAGTTTAACTTTTTCTTAACAAATGCACTTTGACAGTCAAATCAGCTGCATTTCAAAAGTATTCAATGCCTCGGTGCTCCGGGAGCGCTCTCTGAGGGAGGAAATTGGGAAGGAGGAATGCTGCGCATTTCTTCGAAATTTAACAAGATAAGCACCTAAAGCAATTATTTGTTTGCTCGACATTATAGTAAAAGTGTGTCTTAATTGAACTTTTACTTAATAATGCACTTCAGTGGTCAAATTAGTTGCATTTTGCCAGGGCGGCACAGCAAAATGAAGCTGATTTGACAGCTGGATGAAGGTGGCAGGCTGTGGCAAGCCGATTGTGTCATTAATAGCTACTTTTACCTATTATATGACACAATGGCATGCCATACAACTCGAGTGCCATCTACAGGCTGAAAATGGTAGTGTTCAACATTTTCAGTCAGAATGAATGAAAACGGTCATGTCTCAAGCAAAAATGTGTTTATAAATATGGAAAAAAAATCCATAAATATGGCGCTTCAGTGTATAAGTCAAAGGGCGTGCAAATTATGCAAAAAAATGTGACTTATAGGCCAAAAAATACAGTAACTGTTTCACTTTGACACTGAAATCATAATCACTGAATCTAACTTGTTTGCAACATGTTACAATTTTTCTGCAATACATAAACTTCATCCAGTGTTCCTGATTCTTACTGATATAAACTGTGAAACTTCTATGTTAATTAATACCACATTAAATCTGCACAACATAAACACACTTCACATTTGCTTAGGAATACCCAAGTTATTATAATTTTTGCAATTCTCCATTATAATTTTACTGCTAAAAGTCTGACATTTTGTATCGTCGTTTGCAAAATAGTTATTAAAAATAAAGGCATGTTGTTGTTTTTTTTATTTATCTATCCAAGAACAAAAAATATCTTTCATCCAAATGTTTCTTATAATAAGTAATCTATAAGCATTGCAGAATAATCTTCTTTCTAATAATGATTTAGCTTTGACCATTTTTACAGATGTTCACTAAATTTATTATTTAAAAATTGTACTTGTATTTTAAACCTTGTATTTACGCAGAAGTGGCCTGTTACTAAACTGCTTATATTTAAGTATGATGTAAATGAAGTTAAAGTACCTTTAAGCAGGTAAGTGTTATAAAGTACTGCTTTTGTCTTGTTAGGTGTCCAACACCCAGATCTTCCAGATCCAGTTCCACACTGGCTTCATCGCTCCTGGAACAACGATATTAAAATTTAACAAGTAAGGAAAATCCTTCATATACAACCCAATAATAACAACAGATAATGTGATCATTCTTTTCTACTATTTCACTGTTTTGGTGTTTTTACAAATCCCTTTTTTCCCCTCCACCATTCTTAATTTTCTCAGACCCGAGCTTGATGCCTGTGATTCTCCAGAGAAATACCCTCAGCTGTTCCACGTCATACTTGACATTGAGGTAGAGGGGGTGGACAAGCAGAAAGACCTCACGCCACCATGGGAGCAGTTCCCCTGTAAAGACCTGAGTCCCAATGTGCTCTTTTCCTGCCATCAGGAGCTTCAGGATGCTCTGGCTGTTGCAGGTACTGTGGGAAGCATCACACTAAACATCAATCACTTTATGTTTAGGATGGAAAAAACAAGTCGAAAAAAAAAAAACATGTTCAAATCCAGAACCATTTTATCTGTCAAAACTTGTCAGATGAATACAGTTTTAAATGTTTTATTCAGAGCAAACAAGTTGTAAAGAAATCAATCTTGCAGCGCTTGTTAAATTTCGCTTCAACTGTCAGTTTAAACGCTTCAGAAGTACCATGTAGCCAGGGGCAGTCTGAGTATTAACTGACAGGTTGCACAATTACCTTTTTATTTATTTAAAAGTTTGGCATGCAAGGCAGTGGGCGCTTAGCATTTTCTCAAGAAATACCACGTTCAATTGTCCTGATGCATGCTCAGCACTCCAGGGGGATAAATCTAACAAGGTTGTCAGGTCCTCTGGATGGATTCCTCTTTGTCGAAATATTTAGTCTTCTATCCAAAAGACTTCTTCAGTCTGAAGAGCTGCAACAGTCTAATAAACAGCACCTTCTCATGGTGGATCAACCAGTTTGCTCGTGACAGCCCAAACTAGTTGTTCACATGCAAAAGGAGGACGATCAGCCTAACGACCGACCGTTAGTGCCCAGATGGTCACTACCAGAGAGTCGAGCGATACTCGCAATTACAGCATTACAAGATGGGGACAATAGGACACAGAGTCCTTCACCCCTGTTTAACGACAGTCGCCCCTTTGAACATTTTCTAGAGGCACTCTTCTATGAAGTTGTTAGAAAACAAATTCAAGTTTACTCACACATCTAATTTTTTTGGATTGTAATTGTGTAATTATTTGAAATTTTTATTCCTTAGACAGCGTTGCCTCCTGCAAGTGAGACATTTTCATGCCTTTCTGTTTTAGTCTTTGCTTTCTGTGTAAAGTCAACTGGTATTTGCTACTAACTGCTACTTGTTACAAAATGATGTAAATGCTAATAAACATTACTTATGACATCGCTAAATTAACTGTAGTTAAGGTCTAACCTTGGTATAAAAGATGTTTAACCGTACACAATTTAGTTAATTTGATTCTAATTTACATGCACAAACTCTTCATTAAAGGCCATAAATTAATTCTGCACACTCATAACTAGAGACTAAAGTGCAATAATATGCAGATGCAAAACTGTTAGGGAATTTAAACTACTGTAATAAATTCATGTACCTAATTTCTGTCCTTGCAAGATGAGATGGAGGGCTTGGATCTGGAGGGTAAGACAAATGGAGATCACGGGCCTGTTAGACAAAATCTACAGTGGCAATTTAAAAAAAAAATGGATTTGTTCAATTCAATCTCTCTAAAGAAGCAGATTAAAGTATTGACAACTACATTTTCTGTTAATGGAAACTCCATTTGGCCTTTTTGTGTTTATGTTCTCTGCATTGATTGAATTGAAATTAAACCCATATTGTTATGTGGTAATTTATCACTTTGGTAGAACTTGACTTCTTGCCCTCTGGGGAATAAACGACAAATCTCAATAAATCTCAACACCCATCTTCTGATATGGGATGACGGAACAGCAGACAGTATTTCCCCTGCACCCTTGTATCTAAAACACATTCCCCATGAAATCTCTACCATAAATCAGTTCTTAACGTTCTGCCAAGGTGAAGAATTGCTTTTAATGGATATTAGCTGAGGTTTACCATCTGTACCCCACTCCCTTTTAAAAATAGTTTTATAGAGGAATTATAAGGAGAAATTTAGTCAAATCTGTTTAGCAGCTGCAGCCAGTGATTGTTTATAGTGTATCAAAAGAAAAGTTGGTGCTTGTAGCAGTAATAACCTTTGATGTCTTCTACTTTTGTTCCTCATCTCTTAGTCTGCTCTATGGCTTTGTTGGCTTTTTTCTTTTCCACCTTGTTGAACGACGTGCTTTCTCCAGTTTGGATGCTGTCCCTTAACATCATGCTTTTTCTGACCTCATCTTGTTAAAGAGCCAAGCCGACAACATGGAGAAGGTCGGAGTCACGGAGAGGAGAGCGAAGCCTCCGATGACGAAATGTTGTCGCTCTCCAGTCAACGTAGCAGCATCAGTACAGCCTCACAGAAACCAGAACGTCCGGCTCCACCGCCTGCTGCAACCAAACCTGCAGAGGAAGTGGATCTTCTTGGTCTGGGTGGAGAGGACATGAACCGTCCCTTCCCTTCATCTCAACCTTCACCTTCAGCAGCGGCGAGCACTGACCTTCTTGGGGACCTGTTCGGTGCCCCACAGCCAACCAGTGGACCCTCATCCACCCAGTCCACTCCACATAAAGTGGCCCCAAATACTGCTTCACCTTCTCCCTCTCCTGCTCCACCAGGTTAGATGAAGTTAAAGATTAAAGTGGTTTAAACTGAGCAGTGAACAAGTCATCGATTGGCTTATTTTCAAACCCAAGAGGCCTAGATACTTTTCCCACCGTACACTGTCAGTGATAACTTTGGAGCTGTGGTAGCTCGGTGATCAGCGCCATGAGGCTGTAGGTTTAAGTCCAGGTCGTGTTAGGAAGATAATCCGGTGTAAATCTATTAGAAAATAATTTGTGCAAAGTGTGCATGCTGTGCAAAAGAAAGCAGTTGAAATAACAGCAGCTGTCAGTGATTACAGTATTCAAACATGAAAATTCATCAGCTTGTGTTTTTATGTGCTTCTGGTTTATTTGTACTTTGTTGATGATGTTCTTATTGTAATGCAGAATTATAATGAAAAAAATTTATAGAATCACAACAACTTCACTGAAACAATGGCATGTTTTTTTTAAATCTCCCTCAGCGTTTGATCCGTTTGGAAAAGCTCCCATGTCCAAGCCTCAGGAGATGATGGGTTCATTCCTCGGACCAGGTAATGTGGGACAACCAGACCCTTTTCTGCATGCTGCTCGTTCTCCATCACCCACCCTGCAGCCTACAAGCCTGGGTAAGGCATGCTTTTGCCGTTCTGATGCTTTTTCTTTCATAGCATGTTCTGGAGGCATGTTTTATTTACAATCAAATCTATGCATCTACAGTATCTATGCATTTTTGCTTTGTCAAAATATAAAACAAGTTAGTTGCTTCAAAAGAATATTCAATGGATGTACAGTAGTCCCTCGCTACTTCGCAGTTTGTTTATTGCGGACTTGCTCTATCGCGGTTTTTCAAAATAAGATTGGACATGACACACAATTGGCTGATTGATGGATGAGCTGCACGATCGGCATGGAATTTTTATTTAAAATAAATTATTTTAAATTAACATTTGTGCAGCCCACACGACAGGATAAGCTTCCTGCTGCAGCTGATCAGCTGTTCTCTGTGCAGAACAGAGAAGTGGGCGTGGCCAAGAACACTTGCAGGTGGCTGAGAGCAGATGAGGCAGGGGAGCTGAAATCATGACATCCTGTGCTCTTTTAGAGCGTTTGGAGTTTAGAAACATTGTTTGGAATACTGCAAGAGTGTAGGAAGGGTTTAAAGGTCCTTTATATATATATACAGTATATATATATAAATATACTAAAATAAACTACTAGTTACTACTTGTACTACTATTCCTACTTCGCGGTTTTTCATTTATTGCGGGGCTTCAGGGTATGGATCCACCTCGATAAATAAGGGAGTACTGTAGTTTTTGTTTTTGTTTTATAGCCCCATT